TTTGGGGCAATTTTCTCCCCTGTCTGGGCTTTCCAGAAGTTTCCACTTCCAGCTCTGCTAGAATCTGCACTGAAAAAGTTTGGGGGAGAAGGAAGCTCAGGCCCAGGGCGCCCCACCCCCACCCCAGGGACACGCCCACAAGGGCCCTAAAGAAGCTGCCAGCACCAGACGCCCTGCCCGGAGCCTTTGGCCAGACGGGACTATGTTCCTGATTCTTCGCTCAGGACTTCAGACCGCTCAGCGGCCATGAGTGACTTTCTGAGCCTGTCTCCCCTCACACCGGGAGGCCCCCGGGACAGCGCTGGCTTCTGCCATCACACCAGGGCATCTAAGGACGGGGGTTTTCCTCTTCTGTCTGACTGTGGGCTCCTCAGGATGGGCAAAGTCCTTCCTCGGCCAGACCAGGAGCCTCTCAAGGCAGTGGCTGCATCTCCCCCATCAGACCGGGGAATTCTTAAGGGCAGGCATCCTAAGGGACCTACACATAGGTGTCCCTTTTATCTCCCTGCCCACTACCCCTGCCTCCCAGCGTGCCCTGTGTGCGATTCCTAGCCACGGCGGGCATCAGATTACTCACTGTAATTCATAACCACGAAAGGTTCCTCTTGTCCTAAGCTGTCCTGAGTTGTTTTCTAAGAGCTGTGTCCAAGGACCTCAGCCTGGGCTAAAGGGGCGAGAGCGGGCTGGGCGGGAGGGTCTGCAACAAGTCCCCAACAAGCCATCAGGGACGAGATCGCACGGGCAGTACACTGACCCTTAAAGAGCACAGGTTTGAACGGCGTGGGTCCAGTTATACATGGAGGTTTTCGATAAATATAGCACAGCACTGCAAATGTATTTTCTCTTCCGTAGGCTTTTCTTCATAACGTTTCCTTTCCTCTAGCTTGCCTTATTGTAAGGACGCAGCGTCAAAGAAACAGAACGTATAGAATAAGCAGTTAATGGACTGCGTATGTTCTCAGTAACGCTTTGGATCAACAGAAAGTAGGCTGTTAGTAACATTTTAGGGGGAGTCAAAAGTTATATGTGAGTTTTCAGTCATGGGGTGGGGGGGCTCGGCACCCCTAATCCTCACATGGTCGAAGGGTCAAACTGTATTTGTTTTCCTGGTACCTCTTCAGGGGGACCCCGTGCACAAAGCTGGGGGTATCTTACCGAGTGCTGAGCCCCTGATCTTGTAAAGCTGAGCTTTGCACATGGCCGACGGGCTGGGCTCATTATTGTCTAAACCTCTCAGGAGGCCTCTGCCCGTGTGACTCAACTCTGCCCACTGGCCCCTAACCTGAGGTCCTGGCCTCAGTTTCCTCATCCGTGACATGGGCTGAATGAGCTTTCCCCTCTGCGGAGCTAAAGGGGACAGGATTTTTTCTTTTACTGCCAGCCAATCTCCAAAAAAAAAAAAA